TTATTTCCTCTTGTTATTCCTGAAAAACCAACACAGGGAAGGGGGTGAGAGCTGGCTGCTATTTCATCAGGTGCTTTACTAAGTTTCAATTACAGGTTTCCCTCGCTTTATGCGGGTTCTGTATGTCCAAATTCGCTCTTATGAGATGACCCTTTTTAAACCAAAAATTTGTTATATGCGAGGTAAATTCACTCTTATGCAATCGGTGTGGTGGAAGCCCACAGTCAGCTGCTTTGTGTGGTGCGTTGTGGGAGTGACGTGCACCAAAATATGGTCTACTATGTGGATCTGTGCTCCTTGCTTGTCTGTGAGACATGTTTCTGTAGTTGCCATCCCCATTATGATAGTGCCCTGTGCCCGTGTGTACTGTCTGCTGTTGGTGAGTACCAAAACTGTCTTGTAAAAGTGGTAGAAATGGGTCTGGGGGCCAGTACAGTCGAGGTCTTGGAACGCATCCCTATTTGTTACATTGTAAAGTGGATTCCCTTTATGTAAATTTGAGTTATGCGCCGTTTTCCAGGAATGCATGTATAGCATAAAACGAGGGAAACCTGTTCAGGGTAAATCAGTAATGCCTGTAAAATCCTCCTGCCCACACATATCTGTGGTGGCAGAACTTTAACATGTGGGGATTGCACAGATGATCCTTAATTTGAGGACAACTGTTATGAAGAGGCACATTACTGAGGGCATAATTTGGCCTGCAGAACTGCTCCTGCTGGAGTGGAAGTACTAGAAGGGAAGTACTCAGCTTGATGTCCAATTTGCCAGGCTGAGAACAGGAAGGAAAACCCCATCTTTTTACTTGAAAACTGAGTATTTTTGATAAATAATCATTAAGAGCTGGCTGGCAAAGAGGAGCACTTCTCTGGACTTTCTGTTCACACCTTATCTATCCTTCAAGAGAGTTGAGAACTGAAGCCCCTGAAAGAACCATCTGACACCAACACACCACGCTGCAGCCTGGGCAATCTTCCAGGATCCTCCAAGACCTCAGTGAGATTTACCAGCCTGCAGTTCCAGCGCTGGTCTGACAGTGGCAGCATTTTATAACTATGGAAAGAACTACCTAATATTAAGCTAATTCAATGTTAGAACTAGAAGTTCTTCTTTTCAGCAAGAGACAAGTTTTGACAAAAGAGGTTAGGGAAAAACTGGTTAGGTCAAAATGGAAACAGCCTAGAACCCTAAAAACTCTTTACTGAATAGGCTTCATGCATAAGCTACAAAATGTATTTGTATAATTCAAGTACTTCAATTGTTTTTTCCACCCCCCTGGGGGTAGGTGCTGGCAGATGATCATGAGCCTCATCAACTTTCTCTCTGGCTCTAGGGTACATTTTTTCAGACATACTTTAATATAAGT